GTATATGTAAAATTGTGAGCTGAACAAGTTTAATTAAGACACCAAAGTTGGTTATCTTAGTAAGATAACCGGGTATTGGTGATTTTGTTACTGACGAATTTTTTGTTATTTTGTGTAAAAGGATTTACAGAAAGAGTTTTGTTATATAAATTTTATAAATTATAAATTTTATATAAATTATATATAAAATTTTTATAAAAATAAATTAATAGTAAAAACCTTCAATATAAGAAAGACTAATTAAATCCTTTATATAAGAAAGTCAAGCCAATATTGTCTATAATAAATCTGCTTTACATATGAAAATTATTAATAAATGCCTAATATAAGAAAATTGTGTTTTATGAATCCTATATAGGAATTTACTTGTATAAATAATAACTATTCATATACTAAAACTAATGATATGTCATTTATATAATACTTGGATTTTTTTTAGCATATAGTATATATAGTACATATACATATTATAGGATTTTTTTATGCTATAGTCTCAGAATGTTCTGTTATCATTCCAGAATATTTAGGAACTTCTAAATGTTATAGCCTAAACTTCAGAACTTATAAAATGACTGTCAAAATTTTAGCGTACAGTATGTATAGTACATACAATACAGTATGTATAATATAGTACATAGCATATTACTAACTAAAACAAAGAATAAAATATACATTTTGAGATGTCATATATTAGTCTTTTCTGATTACATATATATTATAGGAATAAATAGGCACAGCTTATTAAAATTAAATATATAAAGTAGGGTCTACAAGTGTCAGATATAGTTATTATTAAAAATTATGTCTGGCACTTGCAGACTCCTAATACAAGGCATCGATATTATTGAAATGATTTATTAAAAAAAATTAAAATCATGGCTTTCATATGATGTACAATATAAGAAAAGATAAGATAAGTTAGATCATGCTTATCATTAGATATTAAATTTGTATAATGTTGTAATAGTCTAATCTGCCTAACTTCTAAAACAGTGCCTTGTCTAAGAAAATGATTTTGATCATAATATTACTAACCTAACAATTTTTACTATTAGTAAGAAGGTTTATGTATTTTTGAGATACAATATTAGAGTTTTAAACTGATTTATAAAAAATATCCACTAGTAAAACTCATAAGAATTTAATTATAATATTTGCTACATGAAAACCAATTTTAGAGGTTAGTTAAGGTCTTGTGATATTTACATTTGCTATATAGTTTTTAATCTATATAAAATTACCTTTTTTCTTTAATTATTCTAAAAAAAACCATCTAATAAAGATAGTCTACTTCGTCCATACTATATCAATGTTGTTTGGTGAATAAGTGGTGATTAATAGGGATGACTCGATACTAACACAAAACTATTTAATAAGGTTTGAAACCCCAATGTGGTAAGCCTTAACCAAGGCATGAATAGATTAAAAGTCTTATTACTATTATTATCAGATTACTATAAGTGTGCTTTATATATATTTCTTGGATTGGATTGCAATTCAATACTTTAAGTATACTTGCTTATTCAGAATTACATAATACCACAATTCACAAAATCATAGGTATTTTGATCGAAACTAAGTTAACATTAATAGATAATTGCCAAGATTGTCCAACGTAGAGATATAAATCTCTTATTGTTATATATATAGTAATAATTATATATAAATAAAATATTCATATAAATTTTGTACAGTTATATAAAAATATTTACATAATATGAATTTATTGTATCAAATTGCGATACAATATGAATAATATTATTGATTGATTCCACTGGAATCAAATTTTAAATATTTGTTAATTGTAAATAGGTGCACTCATTTTTGTAAAATTTTGAAAGGACATTTGGAAATTTAAAATTATACTAATAAATAAGTGTAAGATTAAATGTTATAATGCTTTTTAACTCTATGCGAACTAATAGTAGAACCTAAAATTTGAACTAATATTTAGCCTTCAAACTATATAAAAACCAATTAATTTAAGTATTACATTACTTTTGCAAAACAATAGCCATTAAATGTTTCAAATTCTTTTGGTCCAGAACCCATATAAACAGCAATGTTGCTAAACACTAACATATTGTAATAATGTCCTGTAGCTCTTACTTGTTCTTCGTTGGACAATGCAAAAGATTCATATAAAATAAAAACTAGTTCTGATTTATTTATATCTTCTTCAGATACAGACATAAGATCAAAATAGTCATTCATTGCAGGGATGAGATGGCATAAATCTTTAAGAATTCAGAAGTATGTTCTTCATCATGCATATATATTTTGATAAGTAATTTTAAAAACTGCTATGATATAGTGCAATATTTCTTTTCAAATTTTCTAGCATTCTTTTTAGATTTGGATTTTTCATTTTGCAATAAAATATGCTCATAAATACCTTTGAGTATGAGAGTTCATGTTACTTATAAGATATTGCATTAACACAAGTATAAGCTAAACCTAGTAACTTTCTTTTATTAAGAGTTACCTGTATAAACTAAATAATGATACCAAAAAGCTAAATAAACAAACCTTTTATAAATTCTAAATATTGATATTGCATTTGTTAGACATTCTATATGGAGTTTTAATGTATTGCTTGTGAAGTGCTTCATATGTTTCAGTCTCAATCCATTAAGATTTACATATTTTTTAATTGTTTCAACAGTATGGTGGATCCAGTGGTGAAATTTTAAAAACTGACAATCATTTTTAGTAAATGGTCCAAGAATGCTGATGAAATCTTTTGCCCATAATTGAATTAATGTTTAAATTATAGACCAATTAGTTAACATAAATTATAATTTCTACTATAATGCACTGACAAAATACCTGGTGTAATGCAAGCTTTTAACATAGTGAAAAATTAAAAGTTGCATGTATTACACAACTATAAACATCACATGCATATATATATATTATTTTAAAAATTTATATATACTATTAGTTAAATCGGTATTTTAGTTAGTGTATATATATATGCAAAAATTACTAACCTCAAATTGCAGAAGATCAGAATGTATAAATTTATGTTGTTTTGACTGATAATACATTTTATTCCAACTAATAAACATTCGAATAAGCGATTTATTCTTCTTTGCTTCAATAAGGCCTTCAAGAACAAAGAGCATAACTTTTATCAAATGTTTGTATTCAGATGCAGTAAATAGAGCAAGATCTGCAAGCCCTGAATTGAATACTTTTAATCCTGAATGATGTAGTACCAGTCTAAGTCTTAGATCTATTTTATTAACAAGAGTAATTCCATCATAAAATTTTAAGAGATCTCATGTAAATTTAATCATATATGGGCAGAGTCCAAGATCTAAATAATGCATTCACTCAGAGACTGTTGCTGAAAAACATTAAAACCTCTATAATACCAAAATGTTAATTGTATATTAAAATAAATTTTATGACCAGAATTAGAAATAATAATTAAGGGTATGGTGACCTAGTGAAGTGGGCAGGTTGTCAACCCTCCAAGTAGTAGGTTGGGTGTTCAAATCCCATCGACGACAAAAATTTGAATAATCACCTATGTAATATTTGTATTATAGCAACTGTTACTAATGATTGAGTTAGGATATCTGTAA